ATATATATGTATTTCAATCACACTTGAATTAGCTTTTAAAAATATTCACACGTAGCACTGTATTCGTATAGGACAATGTATTAATTATTGTAACAAATGAAGTTACTAATTGTAAGACAGGTAACGAAATGATAATAACAGATAACCGAACCGATGCGTGTGAGTATTAACTGGGATCTGGCTTATACCCCTTATGGAAACTTTCAACACTTGTCTCTCCATTTTATCCGCAAGGTTGTTGTTCAAGTAGAAAAATATAATATACATATATTCACTTATACTTATGTATCTTGCAGATTAACCAATTTGTTCTACGTTAACGTAACGAAATCAAAAGTTTTCAACATTATTACAATACTTAAATAATGTTAAATCATTTTTTTGGTTTACACATACACATATTTTCTTTTAAAATTTTTACTAAATGTATTTAACGGGATAATCCAATATTAAGAATGAAAAATATTAAACGGTATTATAATAGTTTAATATAAATTTGTTTTAGTTCGAATCATCGACAATTTATTTTTGTAATTTAAACGACAAAAAACAAAACGAAACAATGCTGATCAAAGGATATAATTATGCGCATCTCATTTTTCTTCTATCTCGTTCCTATCACTTTCTATTTCATTTTCTGTGTGTTTGTGTATGTGTGTGTGTGCATTTCATTCGCTTACATAATCTTTTTCTCCTCGACACATTATTATCTTTTAAAATATGCATAAACATCTTGATATACTTTTTATTATATGTCACTAGCATTTCTTTTTATATATATTTTTTATATGTTTATTAACACATGAATACTCTTGGCTGTTAACTATAAAGAATTTGTACTTTATTAATACAGAATGTATTTTTTTTAACTCTCTCTCTCTCTCTCTCTTTCTCTCTCTCTTGACACTTCATTTTCAACTATCGTTTATTCGCCAACACAACAAACAAAAACAACAACTTCTCTTTGTATTGTTAATTAAAATTATAGCGTGCATGAAATACAATCGTTGCCTTTAACGCATACGTATGTTTTTATGTATAAGTATGTATGTATAATATATATATATGTATATTATTATTTAAAATTATAAACATCGGTAATGGCAGATTTACGATTGTAACTAATGGAATGAATAATATTACACGCAAAAATCTATAACATTCTCTTCTTATTCTTCTTCTTCTTCTTCTTCATCTTCATCTTCATTTTCTTCTTTTTCAACTAAACACGTTTTCAAATAAAGCAACAATGGATAAAATAATTTTAATTATCGTCGAAGATTCTCTTAATAAATGACCAAAAAAGAAAAAAAAGGATTAGAATATTTATAATATAATAATACCATCACACATCGATCGTGTTTTCTTCCGAAAAAAAAAAATACAAATTAAATCGAACAACTCTGACCCATTTTCTGTTTTTTATATATATATATATATACACCATATCGAAATATTTAATATTTTTTTTGTTTACTGATCAATGAGGAAAAATATTTAATAATATTTTGCAATAGTATTTATCATTATTAAAATTTCGATAAAGGCACATTACGGAAATTGAAAAAAAAGGAAAACCCTGTGTGTCTTTTTTCCATTCAGATAATAATAATAATAATAATAATATTATTAATAATAATAATAATAATAATAATAATAGTGAAATGTCATATTAATCGTGTGATATTTGATAGAAAGCGAAATATTTCAATAAAAATCGTATTATTGCTTTATAATTGATCGATTAATGAAATTTAATCCTCGACATCTTCGGCATCCAATATATTTTTAAAATAAAATGGCTGAAATATGTGTCCCTCTCCTTTATAAAATTTACTCATAAATTCCATCCTGAAACAAAAAAATAGGAAATAAATTATAAAAGTTTTTTTACACATTATATATAAAAGAAAAAAAAGAAACATTTACCAATGTAATCGAAGAGTATGAAGAAAGGCTGATAATCCTTCCATTAAAACAAGAATACAGATAGTAAAAAATGCCCAACCAGCGAAAATGAAGAATAAGATGATGCTAGAAACGTATCTTCCCTCCAATGCACCTAATCCCATTCTTAAAACCCTATTCCAAAGAACTTCAGATAATTGTGAATGAGCTAATGACAAAGCCCAAAGACGTAGATAAGAAGCGGTATGTGATACCGTTGATAAAACGTATTCTATCGTGTGTATGGCTTGATAAATCATCATTTCACTAAAATCGTTATCATGATCTTGATGTACACTAGTAGCTTGACTTCTTGACGGTGAATTTTGTAATTCTATATCTTGAGAAGCATTACCATTTGTCTGTAATACAATTCAATTTATTTTATTTTCTATTATTACTTCTTCATCATCATTATTATCTTATTCTTATCTGTGTAATTAGAAATAATTAACAATAATATGATATATAATTAAAAATACTTACAAATGTCTTCCCAACTTGTTTATTTCTTGGTTTCAAACACAACTGGGTATAAAGTGGTTTACCGAATAACATCAATGGAATACATAAAAGTGCAATAAATACGAAACACATTTGCATTGTCGCCTGACCTTCGAACATAAATTCTTCACAACCTTCTTCTACTTTACTATGTTGAAATAGCATCATATTGATGAAGGTATTTAACACGGATGGTGCACAGCCTGGTTTAAATCTTAATGCTGCAATGTAAATTGTTCAAATATATTAATCGATTGTGAAATGTTTATTAATAATAATAATATAATATACCTGGTGAGGTAGCATCGTACAAGACCCATTTAACGAACATCAAAACTGCCATGTAGAAAAATAAGACCAGAAGAAATATTAATTGCGGTAAGAATTCGAAGAACAAGCTCGAATATTTCTTAAAATGTCTACAATTAACAACACAACAACGATTATTATAATATATTAATTATAAGTTAAATGTGTGATTTTTAAAGTCATATATAAATTACTTACATTATATTAACGACGCTCATGCATACTCCAAATATCATGTGAACAACCCCAAATATTATAGACAATTTCATTTTGAATGAATTAAGGAAAAGTATTTTATTTTCGGCGAGTGACCAAACTGGATCAACCCCAAGTGGATAAGGTGATTGTTCATAAGCATTTGTAGCCGGATCCAACGTGATCGCGTGACGATCAATTAGATCCGTAAAATTGTAATGGATTTTCCAACTTGATCCAAAAATATTTAAAGATTTTGCAAAGACATCGTTATAAATGATACCGGTATAAATAGAAAATATACCCATCAGTAAGATAATATAACGTCCACCGAAAAATATACTTGCTATCTCATTTTCAAGCTTCTGTTCCATGATCTTTTTCTCACGGAATATCATAAAAGCGGCAAAAATTGTCAATATTATACCTGTCCCGCGTGGATATATAATAAATCCATAATTAATTTAATAAATATATATAAAGTGTTCCTAGATTTCATTTTGTCAAACTTCAAATATGAATTTAGAATACTAAAACTAACTCATTAATGTTTTATTCAACTTGGATAACTTGGAAACACACAGATATTTCAATATCATTCCTAATTTATTCCTAAAACTATAGAAATAATTTTCGAAAAGGAAAAATTTATATATTCATTTTAGGGTTTTTAATTTTCATATCTAAAGTTTGGTGAATATAATACTATTTAATATCCTGTATATCGTTTATTTAATTTTGTAATAATAATTGAGACTCACCGTGACCAGCATCTCCAAACATTACACCGAAAAGAAATGGAAAAGTTACGATTGTGTAAAGTGCAGGATTAGCTTCACGGTATGAAGCTATACCGTAAGCATCTATCAATGTCTGAAAACCTCTTGTGAATTTATTAGTCCTATTGAACGTTGGCGGATCTTCACTGGTTTGAATTATGTTGAGAAAAGATGGTATCGTACTACCACAAAGTTTCTAATAGAAGATAACTGTTATATACGAGAGTTGGTTGATCTAAAAATGAAGATGGCCCACGTAAGGTGTTATAAATTATTATATTTTTTAATCACTCACAACCCATTGAAAAGATAATATATTATCGTTGAAATATTTTCATATATACACAAACAAAAATGAATATAAATAATCGTGACACTATATATGGACCATCTCGTATATTTCTTTAGAAAAAACAATGTCATTTTGTAAGTATTTTTGAGATTAGTTTTAAATCAATTAACAAACAATTAATAATAATAAATAGATATCAAAGGGGGAAGTTAAGACCGTGTTTTAATATTGTTGAACGTTTCGTCCTTTTTATTGGGACACTTCTTTACGTGAATTATTCTGAACATTTAAGATCAAGTTGCTGAAGTAGTCCCAGTTAGGGGGATCAAAACATGATGTTCTGATTTTGTTACCTTATCCAACTTCCCTGTGATATCTATTTATTATTTTGTTTAAAAACTTACAAAATGAATTGTTATCAAGATTTAAATAAGTTATATAAGTAATAACTTACGGATCCTTCCGTTAAACAAGCCTGAACTATTCCTAAATCTGCAACGGGTACCCAACACTCCCCTATCAAACATTTCTTCGAAACGTCCATGTTGAATAGATTCATCGTGTGATAAATAGCTTTCATTTTACGAACCATGATGCTCCAATTGAATAGTTCTTTGGCTACGCTGTGTAATACGCGTTGACGATGATCTTGTGTTTGATTTAATACCTAAAATTAATCGAAAAATGGGCAGAGAAAAACATGCAAAGGAACACGTATGATATATATGTATAATATTTCTAATCAATAAATAAAATATTACGATTTTACGTAATCTATAGAAATATTGTTAATTAAATTCTCACCAAGTTCAAATCCTCCAATCGTATTTGTACATCTTTAACCATTTCCTGACGTTCGGTGTGACTGCTTGGACAAGGATAAAGGGAAGCGTGGAATCCAGTGCAAACTTTTTTGATACGGCTCTTCAATTGTTCACCTTGGAAAAAGGCGACGAAAGCTGTTTTATAGATTTTGTTGCCCTAATGACGAGTCGAAAAAAAAAAATTAAAAGAAAACAATTTTTAAAAGATGCACGTTGGATTTTTTCTGATTAGAGTGAAACCAATAATTCGTGCGTTTTATTATTGTGTTGTCTCGTATAATGTAATTTTAATTGAATTGTTCATCAAATACATATAAAATTACTTCATATATATATGGGAATGAAAATATTCATTTATAAAACGTACGAACTTTTAATTTCACATTAAGAAAATAAACGTGACCACTAACGGTAGCTGGATCCTCTAATGGTTTTTCGAGTTCTGCTTGACGAAGGAATACATTTCCACGTGATATTCTCCAAAGCATTCTCTCAAAGGTTGGTACTCGCTCACGGTTAATCACTCCGGCAACGAATCTATAAAAATTAAAGTTCAATTATAAATCACTGCTGTTGATTCATCTTCCCTTAGAGACTGATCAATTTTAGATGACGCGAAAAATAGTCAAGAGAATTAAATTTAAATACCTAATAATTAGGGTGAACCAAAATAGTGCATTTTATTACGTTGAAACTGTTTGTTTTTGTAAAATTTATTTAACAAATATTAATTTAAACAAAAAAACCTATACGAACTTTCGATTAATTTTAATATAATATTTATTTATTATTATTATTATATTAAAATTAGATACTTACTCGAGCCGACCTCGACTCGATGCGCTCGGATTCTGTGCTTCCTCGTTAATCAGAGCCCTAGTGATCGAGTCGTTGGCCTCTTCCTGTTGATATAGAAGAAGAAGAAACGACTCTTGATTCTTCGACAAAACGGTAACATCGATTACACGAAGGAGGACGGCGCGCTATGAGAGGAAAAGCTGCTCAACTACTTTTAGGTACCTCCGTGAAGAATACTTGCGTCTTCTCGAGGACATGCCATAATTCCGTCAGTTCTAGATAGGTGCTTTTCAAATTGACCGCGTTGTGGCTCAGCTCTAGTATGTCGTTCTCCGTTTTCTCGAGATGGGCCTACAAATTGTAACAAATTTTTTTCAGTTCGTTATCTTCATCGTCGAAAAAAATATGACAATTTAAATAAATAAATGAAATTAATGAAAAATTCTGTAACCTCGAGATCTATGATCGCACGTGGATTAGGTGCCCTTGGTAATTCCGACAAATTATCTGGTATCGGTACGTCATCCTTTCTTACTTCTGCTTCAATGTATCGAAGCTTCCTTTCGAGTTCGTCGCATCTTCGAACTTCATTGACAAATTTTCGTTGAAAATAATTCTGATCCCCGTTAAGCTACGAACAAGTTTATAATTATTGAATAAATGAACATTTAAAATTAAGATATAATGTCTTGAATATTTATTTATTTAATGTTTCGATTAACTCTCTACGTATTTTTGAGGTTATATTGTAATTTTATATTTTAGAGTTGCCGAAAAAATTCTAATAAAACATGACGTTCTAATAGTTTTTACTTTTTCCAACTTCCCTGTGATATAATTAATCTATTTATAAGTATTATTTTTGAGATAAATAAATATTTAATGCCCAAATAAAGGCTATGAGTTCAATGAAGTTTTTGGCAGCCATATTGACTCTAAGTTAATCCTAACTAATTGTTAGTCTGGTGGTGTAATTTGGTTCGCAAAAGCCTTATTGGGGTTCCCAAGCTTAAATTGATCGATAATCTAATTAAATCGAATGAAAAAAAAGGATTCGACAAAACTTACGTCACGAAATTGCACCGTGCCAGTTTCTCCAAGCTCGGAAACGGAAAGATATGCAGTCTCGGGTTGGATAAACAATTGGCAAAGGGCCATTTCTTCGCTTCTGAACATTGCCCCCATCTTGAAGGCGATTTCTGATTTTTACCCTATAAAAATAACAATTAAAAATTATTTAAATTTATTTTGATAAATATCAAAAAGGGAATGAAACATCGAATAGAACAAATTTGTATATCCAACGACTGATTGTGAGAGATGATATCGCGAAACCTTGTTTTAAATTCGATCACGATGTTCAACGATGTTAGCAAATAAATTTAAATGTCGCTTATTCGCAGATGTAATCGGTGTTCTTAAGAATTCATTCAAATATTGATACAAGATAAGGGTCACAAATCAAACTCGATTTTCACCTTGATCGCGTTTAAGAAAAAATGAATTATTTCTTAAGAATTTATAAATTGTTTCTTTTATTATTCGCATGAGACTTTTTTTTAACACAAAAGTTTTTTCTTACCTTTTTTTAAACATACTCTTTAATATTTTTCATTATAATGTTATTTTATTGCTAATGAATTAGATACGATTGTTTTCTCGACAAAATAACGTTGTGCAACGTTGAAATTATTAAACGTAAGTACAAACAAAAAGATAAACCTTTTGGAATGTATCAAATAAGTGTAGAACAAAAGTAAATAAGCAAAAAAAAAAAAGCCTGTAAAAGGTGATAGATAAAAATAAGAGAAAGAGATAAGAAAAAAAGAAGAAGAAAAATAAGAAATTACTTTTCTCTGAAACACGCGTTAACGTTATTCACGTTATGGTTACGATCATATACATCAAACGAGGACGAGTTTTAATAATCAAACATGCAAAGAAAAAATTTAGAGATGTCAGTAAGATAAGACCTTTGTAATTGACTTTATTCACATTTACGTAAGTGGTATGTCACATGAAATAAAGAATTCTTTTTTTTTTGTTATTTCTATCTCTCGGTTTCTCCTAGAAATGGATTTGATTATTTTTCAACAAGCATGATCGTTGAAATTAAAATAACTACAATTAAAAAGAACAAAATTATTATAATAAATAATTAAGATATTAATCCAACAATATTTTCAAACACTGATTGAACAGTACCCACCCCAACAATCACCATAAACGTGTACACGCGTATAATCCTGTAATAAAAATCACGTAGAACAATATAACGGATATTAAAAAAGATAGATAAAATCTAAATTCTTTTGATTATCGATAAGAAATAGACTACTCGTTTTGAAAACTCTACGTAATCTGATTGCGTAATGTAAAATAACCTAAGTGAAAATAATAGGAGAAAGAATAAAAGAAAGAAAGAAAGAAAGAAATAAATAAAAGGTAAAATAGGAGAACATTACAAGACAGGAGTGTACACAATAGAGATAACGATGAGAACTAGAAAACGAACAATTCTAACTTGGCTTCTTTTTTTTTTCTTCTTTTTCTCAACAGAATAAATTTACTATTTTACAAATTACCTAAACCCCTGTTTGATATAAAAAAATCAAAATATATATAATATATATTTATTTTAATTAATGCAAACCTA